TCGGCACACGTAGAACGGGTCGAGCTCCAAAATTAGACCGAAATCCTTTCCCGTACGCCGTGTGGTAGAAAAAGTTACAGGGCCTCTATCACATTTAGACTATAGCGTGCTCTTTTTTTAGGGTGCCAGAAGGATTAGGCCTTATAGGGTTTAGGGTTTAGGGGGTGAAGGCATATGTAGGATTTGTAAGGTTTACTTGGAAGCTCACGGGGTAGTTGTAGTAGTGTTTAGGGTTTAGTTGGAGATTCATATCACTTGGCGGTACATGGGCAAACCCTATAAACCCTAAACCCTATACCCTATAAACCCTATAAACCCTGTAAACTCTATAAACGCTGTAAACCCTGTAAGCCCTATACACCCGTTAAAACCCTAAAAACTATACCCCTAAACCCTTAGCCCTAAACTCTAAACCCCAAATCCCAAACCCTACACCCTAACTATCCATGCACCTGGCCTTGACACTAGCTTTGCGGTCCGCTGCTGAACGGCCTGGCTTGATTTCAGGGTTTAGGGAGTTGGGGTGTGGGGGTTTGGGGTTTGGGGCTTAGGGTCTCAGGGCTCAAGGGTTTAAGGGTTTAGAATTCAGGGGCTTAGAGGGCTTCAGGATTGGGGCTCAGATGGCTCAGAGTTTAGGGGTCTAAAGTTCGGATTTAGGGTTGTCTAGCTACTCTAAGGGCTCGGGGTTGAGGATGTCTTCCTGCGCAGTGGCCAAGGATCTCGTGGTCGTATGGTCTGGCCATCCCGTCCCCGATTTTTGTCGGAGGAATGATCTGAAAGTTGATTTTTTGGGAAGACTCTGCGATTGCGGCCTCCAAAGTCCGCACCAAGTAGCTACGGTTCCACGCTGCATTGGCATCGCCCCCGATGACAGAAACCTTATGCACCAGAGCATCCTTAAACAGACCTTTCAGAAGCACCCACTGCGTGAAGCCAGGGGTTCAGGGTTTGGGGTTTAGGGTTTAGGGACAACCTTCAGATTTTGCCCTGTCAGGGCTAATACAAGGGCCTTCAGTACTTTGAATAGGGTTTTTGGGGAGGTGGTTATAGACCTTATAAGGGAAAATGTTAGTAACTATTCCGACCCCTATCGTGCGCCCTGAATCTAGGGTTTCTTATGACTGTTCTTTTAGGGTTGAAGGGTTTCACGTTCTATGTCGAATGCGTAGAGCTTGAGAGCACCTGAGGCAATGACCAGCCAACTAGGCGCCCTTTGCAGGGTTTTTCTCATTCTGGGTTTAAGGTTTAGGCTTAAGGCTTAAGGCTTAAGGCCTCAGGCTTTAGGCTTTCGAGTTTAGGGTTAGGGGTTAGGCTTCGGGTTTAGGGGCATGATTGTCGGGGGACGGGGAGGGGGGGGGGGAGTTTAGGCTCAAAATTGCTTCACGCGCAAGAGGCTCATATTAGCACTCCCAAAAAGGAAGCCTACACCTTCAAATATCTAACCCTAAAACCTAATTAAACCCTAAACCCTAAACCCTAAACCCTAAACCCTAAACCCTAAACCCTAAACCCTAAACCCTAAACCCTAAACCCTAAACCCTAAACCCTAAACCTTCAAATATTTTCTATCCCCCCTAAACAATGAAAAGGAACCATCGAGGCTAAGTCCTGCTTCCTGACCTCTAGACGCCCTTGAGACATGGAGGTTTCCGAAATCGGTGGTACCCTAAACCCTAAACCTTAAACCCCTTATTGGGTTCCTTATGACTTATTACTACTTGGGGACTACTACTTGGGGACTACATTAGGGGTCCCTTATTGTTGTACCTGGAGGGAATCAGGGTTGAGAGCAGGATCTCTAGTAAGTTGTATCAGCTGCTAGGGTCTATGTAGGGTTCTGGCTTGGGGGCTAAGCCCGCAAACCCAAAACCCGAAGCCCTAAACCCTTAAACCCCGAGTAAGGCTCGAGTAAACCCGAAACCCTAGACCCTAAACCCGGTTGAGGGTTTCCCTAAACCCTGAAACCCCGTCCTTGGCGCTCTCCGCCCCAAAGGGCCGAGCTCCAGCATCCCGCCGATCCTTGGACCAGACCTCGTAGCCCCCGCAAATCGATGCTTGCTTGCTTGAGGGTTTGGGGTGGGGTTTGGGGTTTGGGGTTTGGGGTTTGGGGTTTGGGGTTTGGGGTTTGGGGTTTGGGGTTTAGGGTTTAGGGTTTAGGGTTTAGGGTTTAGGGCTAGGGTATAGGGTTTAGGGTTCAGGGGGCTCGGGCCAGAGTTTAGGGGTTTAGGACTCAGAGTTTAGAGGGCTTTTCGGGCATGTGGGGGATTTTGATAGGGGTTTGTAGGTTTTACAAATTCGCAGCCTTTCCGGTGTTTCTAGGGCGTTAAGGGCTCAAGCCAAAGAACCCTAAAACCTAGATCTACAGCCTACACCACCCCTGAACCCTAAACCCTAAACCCTAAACCCTAAACCCTAAACCCTAAACCCTAAACCCTAAACCCTAAACCCTAAACCCTGGGTTGAGGTTTTGGGGTTAGTGGTTTAGGGTTAATGGTCTAAGGTCTGCATTGTCTAAACCCTCAACCCTCAATCCTACGAGCACTCAAACACCTTTGCAGTGCAAGCTCCTTCGAAGCGGGCTAGGGCTCGAAGGTTCAGGGTTCAGGGTTTAGGGGTTTAAGGGTTTCGGGGTTTGGGGGGTTTGAGGTTTAAGGGATTAGGTGTACTGGGGATGTAGGGGTTCAAAAGTTCAGGAGTTTAGGCTTCAGAGACATGGGATCAACGTGTATTGAAGCCCAACACTTAGGTTCCCGAAACCCTAAACCCTAAACCCTAAACCCTAAACCCTAAACCCTAAACCTTGAAACGGGCTTCGGGGTGGCCAGAGGGGCCCTGGGCGCCTCTTCGTAGCGGCTGTCGCTACCTCCCTCCAGAGAGCCAAACCGCCTCAAGGAAAGGCACTGAGCACCAAAGCGTTTTTCACCCTAAACCCTAAACCCTAAACCCTAAACCCTAAATTAGGGCTTTTAGGGTGTAGAGGGTTTATTTGTAGGGTGTAGGGTTTAGGGCAAGTTTAGGGTTCAGGGCTTGGGGTTCGGGGTTTAGGGTTTAGGAATACTCCTAATCAAGGAGCCTATGCATTGGACTCCACAGGGGCCGCAATTAGTTGTTAATTCGGGCATCTCTTTATGAAGGGGTGCTGCTCCCTGACCTCAAACTCTTAAGCAACCCTAACCCTATCAAAAACATACCCTAAACCAAATTGACCCACCAATGCCCCGTAAGCCCCGCTATGAGAAAAAAAACATGCATCGGAGCAGGCTACTGGGAACCGAGAGCCCGAACAAAATGTGCAAAACCCGCCAGGTGCTTGGGCTTAACCCCGAAACCGCAAAACCTCAGCCCTAAGCCGGAACTCTAATCCCCTCCCCCTAATATTAAACCCCCCCCCTACCCCCCTAATACTTAAAATCCCCCAATATACTATAATATAACTATAATGGGGGGGTATTTAATATTAGGGGGTAGGGGGGTTTAATGTTAGGGGGAGGGGATTACACTTCCAGGTGCTTGGGGGTCTTAGCACCTGGAGGCAGCGGCCATGCTTGTTCAAGCCACTTTACGACGGAAGGAATCTCAAAGGAACCCCAAATGCCCTTCAAGCCCTACTCTGTAGAACCTCCAAACCCTAAACCCTAAACCCTAAACCCTAAACCCTAAACCCTAAACCCTAAATCCTAAACCCTAAACCCTAAACCCTAAACCCCAAGTAGCCTTTGTGTGGGGATGTCTGTTTGCCACCATGCAAGCTGCAACGGTTTCGGCCCTCAACGCTGCCCTTGTTGAAATGTCTGCTGCGTAAGTCGGCTGTGCATCAGGTTTCTGCCCTGCTTTGACTGATGCTACAGCGTCGACTCAGTGCATGCCCCTGCATGAACCTTGCGTTTGCAAGTGGCACAATCTGAGGCTGGCTGAGCATTGGCCGTCAAAAGAGTAACGGCAACCGTTCCCGCTTCTTCCATGAATACTGTCGTGACATTCCCATCGACGCTGGATGATTTCGATTGCGGTCTCCAAACGCTAGTACAACGGCACTACCTGATTTATGCTCTGACCACACCGCACCTCAGAGTACATATTTAGCCCTAGGTCAACACACGCGGGATCCCAGCATTTTCGAGCGGGCGCCTAAGCGCGCAGCACTCATCCGACCCTAGACCCTAACCTTAGGGTTAGGGTGTAGATTCAAACCCCCCCTAAATCCCGACTTCCTACACCCTGCTGAACCCTAAACCCTGAACCCTAATATAAACCCCAAACCCTAATTAAACCCTAAACCCTAATTAAACCCTAAACCCTAAACCCTAAACCCTAAACCCTAAACCCTAAACCCCAAACCCCAAACCCTAAACCCTAAACCCTAAACCTCAACTCCCTTCACCCTAAACCCTAAACTCTGAACCCAAAACCCCCAAAGCCCCCAAAACAAGCCGACCACCTTTCGCGCAGCGCTTTCGAGAGTCGCACCGGGCAGCGCCGCCCAGCCTCAGCGCAGCTGTTTGAGCGTTCAGGGTTTGGGAAGTTTGGGGGGTTTAGAGGATTGGGGTGTTGGTGGGGGGTTTAGGGTTTAGAGAGTTGGGGTAGGGGTGGGGGGTGGGGGGTGGGAGGTGGTGGGGGGTGGGAGGTGGTGGGGGGTGGGGTGGTGGGGGGGTGGGTTTTCGCTGAACCAAGCGGAGCACAGCGGAGGTGCAGCCCTCTCAACACAACTCTTTAGGCTTGCATAGTAGCTCCAAGATGGTGTTGGTAGCTGTCGGGTGTAGTTCTGGGTCGGTACGTCCGAAGCAGGTCTGGGTAGGAATTTAGGGTTAAGGCAGTTTACGGAGTATGTTTCAGGAGTTTAGGGAGCTTTGGGTTATACTTAAGGGAGTGCAAGTTTTAGCTGGTTTGAGGATTTGGCTTTATACTAGGGTGAAGGAGTCAGGGAGTTTACATAACTTTGGGTCTTGGGTATGTACTAGTCTTTAAGGAGTTTAGGGTTTGGTTCAGTGGCCCTCTGAAGCCTACTCTCCCAGAGCCCTGGCCTTTCGCAGCGTCTGCGCAAAGACCTGCGCCGTCTCGCGGGCGCGCGTGAAGTCACTGGACCTGGCGATCGGCTTCTTGGGACTCGAGGAGCTTCTGCCGGGTTAGGCTAAGTATCTGAACCAAAAAAGGTGTCGAGAGCTTGCATACAGACAAGCTTCAGTAAAGTACCCAACTCCTACTTGTGAGGGCTGAGGTCTGCAGGGTTATGGGGTTCAGGCTTGGGGAGGGGTCCAGTTTAGTCTTTAGGCTTTAATATTTGAAGGCGAAGATGGCTTGTCAAACACGGTTCTTTCTAGTCCAACGCCGACCACCTGATTCGTGCAGGCCTCACAAAGGTCCTGCCCTCGAATAGTGTGGCAGCCCTAAACCCTAAACCCTACACCCTATACCCTAAAAACCCGAGACCCTAAACTCTATACCCTAAACCCTAAAACGGTTTAGGGTTTGGGGTTTGGGTTTAGGGTTTAGGGTTCAGGGGACTTCTTGCGGAGGCTTCAGGTAGCTCCAGGACTGGAGACTCGAAGACTTTGCACGATTGACGCTCTGCAAAACAAACCTGGATAGTTGCCCTGAGGGTCCATGTGGCTAAATAGGGTTTAGGGTTTAGGGTTTAGGGTTTAGGGTTTAGGGTTTAGGGTTTAGGGTTTAGGGTTTAGGGTTTAGGGTTTAGGGTCTAGCCCGAAGGGTCCATGTACCTAAATAGGGAATTCTTGGGCCTCAAAGTGCTTCCCATATAGCGACTTTGGGGCCCAAGTACAGACTAGTACATGGACCCTTGGGGTTATAGAAAGATTGACTTTGTTGAGGGCGTGCACAGTAATCAGCTTTGACATTTGTGCGATGATGCAACGCGCCGTTCCAGAGGGGTTGTTCCAGAGATTGGGTTTCAAGCTTCCCCAAACACCAACTTGGGCTGCACCTTGCAAAGTCTCTTACATTCATACACCTGCACGGATGCAGAAAGATTTCTGAAGAAGGAAGAGGCTAGAACGCATAATGGGCCTGGAACCCTGGAGGGGATGGACTCGATAACAGCAGGTCTCAAAGAGCTTAGTGTTTCAGGTCCTAGGTCCTCGGTTTTAGGGTTCCGGGCTTCCACTTATCGCGAAAAATTAGGGTCCGAATCTACACTTGACTTGAGGGTTTAGAGTCTGGAGTCTAGAGGTTTAAGAGGGTTTATAGGGTTGAGGGTTTCGGTTTAGGGCCTCTAGTCTTTCAGGTTTAGGATTAGGTGAGGCTTCGTCGGGGAGTCGGGGTTTAGGGCTTCGGGCTCGGTCCGATGTTCAAGCAAAAGGGAGTCGGGTGCGGTGTAGAGTTTGGGTTCGCAAGGCTTCTGTGGGGGTTTAGGGTTTAGGGTTTAAGGTTTAAGGTTTAGGGTTTAGAGGGGCCCGTGAGGGTTTTGGGAGGTCCTAAGCCCCATCGCCGCTCCTTAATCCTATGTCTGCCCCTGAAGGCCACAGGCTGGGGCCCCGAGCACTATCACCACGTGCTGAGAAGCTGTTTTGGCGAACTGCGTGCCTGCAGTTTTTAGGTTTTGGGCTTCTGGGTGTTCTGGACAGTGGAAGTTTGAAACCCAAACCGCCAATTCGTGTCTGAGTTGTGGGACTTGTGTGAGGCTGGGTTTCACCTGAAACCCCACACCTGCAAGTAACTCCCAGGCAGCCAGCCAGCAGCATTCGATATCCACATCCTTCCCCTTAGGGCACCTATTTCCACAATCGTCCTCTGCGAGTCCTACATGGGTCCAGCTAACACTCACACCCTCTGTGAATCATTGATGCTGACCTCGCAAACACGCTTCTGGCAGCATGTTGCAGACTTCGCTGTGTGCAAAAGAGAGAAAAGAAGAGAGAGAGAGAGAGAGAGAGAGAGTGAGTGAGAGAGAGTGAGAGAGTGAGAGAAGGAGAGAGGGAGAGAGGGAGAGAGGGAGAGAGGGAGGGAAGAGGGAGGGAGAGAGGGAGGAAGAAAGGGAGGGAAAGAGGGAGAAGAGAGGGAGGGAGAGAAGGAGGGAGAGAGAGAGGGAGAGAGGGAGAGAGGGAGAGAGGGAGAGAGGGAGAGAGGGAGAGAGGGAGAGAGGGAGAGAGGGAGAGAGAGAGAGGGAGAGAGGGAGAGGAGGGGATATGCACACACATATACATGTAGATAGATAGACCCCAGATCTCACACCATGCATTGTGCACGTATACATGTCATGTGCGTGCACACACACATACATGTATACATATGCATATATACATATATATGTATGTATGTATATATATATATACATATAGAAAATATGCATATGCATATACGCATGTCTGTATTGTTGTTTTCCCAAAGCCTAGCAGAAAAGCGGGCTCCTGTGCGTTTGACGGCCGCGCGGCCTTGCCACAGGTCTGGAAGATGGAGCGGGGGTCCGGGCTTCGGGTTTCAGGGCATCAGGGGTATGGGGGTTTAGGATTTAGGGTTCATGGTTGAGGGTTTAGGGTTTAGGGTTGAGGCGGCGGCTTGAGGGTGGAGGGTTAAGCGATAAGGGGCGGGGCCAGGTCTTGAAGCGTGCGGATTTTGAAGGGTGCAGAGACCTTCGGTTATTGGGCTGAGGGTCGAGGTGTGTCTGAACTGCTGACCCCAGGACAAGCTTGTCACAGTGCCAGCGTGCTAGACGGTCCGGAAATCCCCAAAACACCAGAGTGAAGAATTTGTGGGACCAAATGACCCTAAACGTTGGGATCGTATGCCCTATACTACTACATTCCCCATTCGGGTAAACCCGTTTACCCCCCAGGAGTGAACATGTCTAAAGCAAGCGCGGACATGACTGAATTGTTGCTTTGGCGCCTCACAGCTACGTGACGGGCGCAAGGTCAGACTCTGAACAACAGCTGTTGGCTTGGGTGTTTGGGTGTTTAGGGTTTAGGGAGTAGGGTTCAGGGACCAGGGAGTTGGGTTTAGGGCATCATCACCAACCATCACCATCGCCACAACGACCGTGACCACTGTCGTCAAGACACGTAAGTGAGGCCACTCTCTTGCATCAAGCCCTACCCTTGCTAAGCCCTGAACTCTCAACCAGCAGCATGAGAAAGGGTGGGATTGGTCCAGCTTTCTTGAGGGGGAGCAGGCGCTGCCATGAACCCTAATTTGAACCACAAACAACCCCTAAACCCCCTCAAGGCCCTGAAGCTCTGGGAGGCCGCGGACGCTGAGAGACCACAACGCAATAACTGCTCTACGACTTTCTTTGTTACTTCCAAAGTCCCTGCAGCTTCGAAAGCCACGAACGATGCCACGACCCTGCCCCCCTCCCCACTCCCTTTGAACTCGCCAACACCCCGCTGATCCCTAAACCCTAAACCCTAAACCCTAAACCCTACACCCTAAACCTAAACCCTAAACCCTAAACCCTAAATTTAAACCCTAAACCCTAAACCCTAAACCCTAAACCCTAAACCCTAAACCCTAAACCCTAAACCCTAAACCCTAAACCCTAAACCCTAAACCCTATAAACCCTAAACCCCTGATGGCTCGATCCTGCGGTCGTCAAGCCATACTTCTTCGTGCCCACCTGAGCAGAGAAGAGACCGAACAGTTCCGTTCGGATTTAGGGTTCAGGGTTCAGGGTTTAGGTTTAGGGTTCAGGGTTTAGGGTTTAGGGTTTCGGGTTTAGGGTGGATGGTGGCCGAAGCTGCACCAACCCCTTGCCTTCTCCAGGGCCAACAAACGTCCTAGAAGTCATGGACCCCCTAAACCCTAAACGACATCTCCCTGCCAAAGAATCGGCCAACGAAAACCCTGGCCGACATTCCAAGACACCGCAGAGAAGCAATCTGGGACCCCGGTGGAACCTATCAATGCATGCACTCCTGTTGGTAGAAGGGCCTTGGGATCTGAGATGATGATCTTGGCAACGTTCGCTTTGGACCTCACAGCGAGGATGTGGGTGGGGCGGGGTAGAGGTGCGAGGGGGATGCGAGGGGGCGGGGGGGTGGGGGGAAGCAAGAGCCTTAAGGCAAATGACCTCCAGACTTTCAGGCCGTTTAGGATTTAGGGTTTAATTAGGGTTTAATTAGGGTATAGGGCTTAGGGAATGAAAAGCCCGACACTCGGCACAACATTGCGTCATGGGGATAGTTGGAGTCGAAGATGTCTCAGACCACGCGATTTCAAAGAGGCGTTGACGAAGCAAACCTTAAACCCTAAACCCTAAACCCTAAACCCTAAACCCTAAACCCTTGGCATCTCAAGATGCACTCCCAAGAAGCCAGGCCAAAGACGCGCTTACCCTAAACCCTAAACCCTCTAAACCTCCACAAAACTGCACTAAACTCCCAATGAACCCTATAAACCCTCTAACACCCAATAAACCCTACAAACCCCCATAACCCGTGTAAAACCCACAAACCCGAAAAAAACACAACAACTAAACTAAGCCCTAAAGACAACGCAGAACAACAAACCTTAACCCTAAACCCCTCTAAACCCCCTAAACCCTAAACCCTAAACCCCAAACCCCAAACCCCAAACCCTAAACCCTAAACCAAAACAGCCAAACCAGACCCGACGCCCGGTGCTGTGGGTCTCCCCGCTCGCCGTGCCGGAGAGCGAAGAAGCGATGCTGCCTCGGCCAAAGAAAAGCAAGATGATGAAATATCCCTAAACCCTAACCCCTAACCCCTAACCCCTAACCCCTAAACCCTAAACCCTAAACCCTAAACCCCAAACCCCAAACCCAAGTCCTCTTCCCCAGACCCTAAACCCGGCAGAAAATGTTTCGGCTGATGTTTCTTGGCCCCTGCCGTATATCGGGTCCAAAAAACACACCCACGTTATTCAGCAGCCCCCACTTCCTCCAAGCCCTTTAGCGCTCGAGTGCCGAACCCAAACACTCCAAGTAGAAAGGGTTTAGGGTTTATAGGGCTTTAGGGCTTTAGGGCTTTAGGGTTTAGGGTTTAGGGTTTAGGGTTTAGGGTTTAGGGTTTAGGGTTTAGGGTTTAGGCCCCTTCCTCCTCCTAAAGCCGCCCTCCAAGCCCTAAACCCTATAAACCCTATAAACCCTATAAACCCGATAAACCCGATAAACCCTATAAACCCTATAAACCCTATAAACCCTGTAAACCCTGTAAACCCTGTAAACTCTGTAAACCCCATAAACCCCATACATCCTATAAACCCTATAAACCCTATAAACCCTATAAACCCTATAAACCCTATAAACCCTATAAACCCTATAAACCCTATAAACCCTATAAACCCTATAAACCCTAAACCACAACAGCAACAAAACAAATGAACAGAGGGAGCTCCCAGACCCCCTGGGCCGTGTGCAAGGGCTGCCGTAGTGGTCCACGGGCCATTGCCTCTTTCCCGGGGGGTGGGGCGTTCAGGGCTGCTGGGGTGGGGGGGGGGGGGTTTTAGGGTTAGTAAGGGTTAAGGTTTTCGGGGCTTAGGGGTTTAGGTGCTTCGGGGCTTCGGGGCATCAGGGTTTCACCCTGATGGCTTGAGGCGCAGTCTTGCATGATGATCAGAGGTTCGCCCGCCTTCGTCTTTGTCTTCTTCACCTTCGGCGACATGGGCTTAATGGACACTTGCCTTCTTTGCCGCAGGAAAGTCCGCACCCAGATGAGACGCTGAGACTGCCAGGCCCCCGACCCCCAAACCCAACACTACCACCAAAGTTGGCTGTCAGGTCCCTAAACCCTAAACCCTGAAACCTAAACCCTAAACCCTAACCCGAAATCCTAAGCCCTACATATACCCTAAATCTCTAGTGGTCACAGTTGGGACTATTGCAAACGCCGACGACATGTGAGCTTGCTAGTTTGCAGTGGAGGGCTCAGCACGTCTTGAGGACACAAGTTGGGATGCGCAATTCTACGCATGGCTTGAGCAGCTGCACCACGAAGCAAGAACTAAGTCGCAACATAAACACCATCATACCCTACACCATTGAACGCAGACCCTCACTCTCAGGATCCATATGCACCTATACAGTAAATGAGACCCGTAGATGAGACCCTAAACCCTGAACCCGGATGTTCCTCTCGCGAAACGCTTCAACGTAGGGGTTCATTGAATGAGAATGGGTATTTTGGGTAGTTCATCGTTTATGCAGAGCATGTATATATACACAACATACAAGGTATAAGACGGTAGAAGGTTGATAAGGAAAAACATTGAGGCTCCTGCGTACTTGGGGAGTGCTGTACGGTTGTCGGGTTTGATGGGCAGGTCTGGGTCTCTCTGACACGGTCTTGGAACGGAGGTGTCCATGATCTAGGTAGGCCCAAAGGGTCCATGCACCCATAAAGTGTATATTCGGGCATTAAAGGGATTCCTATACAGTAGCTTTAGGGCCCAAATATGCACTGTATGGGTCCTTGGACCCTCAGGATAGGATGAGCTTAAGCAACACAACAAAATCACTACACTTGTAGCTTCACCTTTTGGAGATTCTTCGCTTTGGGGTGCCTTGCATGGACGTTGAAGGCTTGCCCACGTGGCACCGCTGCTTTTTCCATGAACCCTAAACCCTAAACCCTAAACCCTAAACCCTAAACCCTAAACCCTAAACCCTAAACCCTAAGCCTCTTTTTTGCACACGGCGGCGCCCGCGCACTCGAAGCGCAGCCTGAAGGGCGCCATTCTTCGCCCGCTCTGCCACGGCTACCTTGGCCATGTCGGGGGGGTTGTGTAAGGCCCTGGCTCTTGCTGGGTGAGGGTTTAGGGTTTAGGGTTTAGGGTTTAGGGTTTAGGGTTTAGGGTTTAGGGTTTAGGGTTTAGGGTTTAGGGTTTAGGGTTTAGGGTTTAGGACATGGACAAACAAATTTACATGCATATTCGTTGTATTTCTACGTACTTGTAGAGTCTATGCCCAGCACAGGTAGGCTCATGATACTTGGGCCCAAAAACGATATAGCAGAAGAAGATAAAACTAAGTCCTCCTCGTGCTTTCCTTGGGGGCCAAATGCACCACAAGGGAACATGGTTCACATACCGTAAAAGGAATTAGAGTCAAGTAGGCTATGTGATGCCAATTTCAGGGTTTAGGGTATACTCAATAAGGATTATAGTTGTATAGGGCACATGATCCCCATTTTCGGGACCCTGAACTCCTAAACCCCACCATTAAGACTTATGGTACAAATTTTAGGGTTCGGTTGGTCCCCAAAGCCTAAACCCTAAACCCTAAACCCCAAACCCTAAACCCTAAACCCTAAACCCTAAACCTAGGGTCCAAGTCAGCTACTCGTCTTCTTTCTTCCAGGCCAGCCGCAGGAAGTAGGCGCCAGGAGGCGAGAAGCTCTTGATGCCCCCGCCGGTCGGCATGAGCATGATCTCGCGGTCCTTGGTGACACATGGCTCCCATGGACACTCGCGGTTTAGGGTTTAGGGTTTAGGGTTTAGGGTTTAGGGTTTAGGGTTTAGGGTTTAGGGTTTGGGGTTTAGGGTTTAGGGTTTGGGGTTTTGGGTTTAGGGTGTTTGCAGACAACCAGAACGCACCTAAACTCTAAACCCCAGGCCGAAACATCTTCAAAGGCTAAATTAAAAATGTCGGACCGACATGCCCTAAACGCAACAAAAAACATCGGATATGCCAATGCAAACCATGAACCCGAAACTTGAACAATCTGAACCTGAAAAGTTCAAAACACTAAACCCTATACATCATCAACCTCAGTCTCTGGAGATTGCGCCGCAGAGCTTCTCAATACAAAGGTGCCGTAAGGTCCAGATGAACCCCAACATCGGTGTGTACAGGGTTTACTTGGATCCTCTTTTGACTTAGAACATCTACTTAGCATCCCCAAGATGCCTCATTAGAATCCCCAGAACGCAGCTTACTAACCCTACTTACTAAGTCAAGCGGACTTCCAAGTAGGGCTTAGGGTTTAGGATGCCAACTCATTTGGCCCCCCAAGGTACGGCCACATCGGACCCAGAGTACACCTTCTTTGATGAGGCGCGATACTGGCCAGGTCTAGGTTGGCCCTTCCCAAGCGCTCAAGGTTTAGGGTTTAGGGTTTAGAGTTTAGGGTTTAGGGTTTAGAGTTCAGGGTTGAGGGCTTAGGACTTAGGACTTAGGGCCTAAGCCCTCGGAAAAAGATTCCTAGAGCAGAGTCTCTTTGAAAAGCTAAAGCCCGACAAAGGGACAATAAATTCAAAACTGCAACCCAAACCCCTGCATGCCTCTTAAACGGCCTGCCTTGAAATTGTAATGAGCTGCCCTTAACAACCTCTCCGACAATACAAAATATGAACACATGGGTTTGCCGGGGTTACTTTTTAAAATGGTGCCGTATTCCAGATCGGGGACTGAAAAATGAAAAAAAAGTACCGTAATGCCAGGGAATCCTGAACCTTGAGCCCTTTACCCTACCTTAATCCAAAACCGACTTTCTTGTATTCTTCAAGAGTTTCTATCATAAGAACCCTACAAAAAAGTAGGGTTTTGGGTTCTTGAGGTCAACCCGAAACCCGGGGAGTCAAAAAACTCCTAAACCCTAATCCCTAAACCCTAAACCCTCAACCCTAAACCCTAAACCCTAAACCCTAAACCCTAAACCCTAAACCCTAAACCCTAAACCCACATCCCTTGTCAGGGCCTAGCTAGCTGTGCTCTGTGGCGAGCGTCCGGCAACTTTGGTGGCGGGACCGGGTCGGGCCACCTCAGCAGGGGAAATCCGATACATTACCTTGGTTTAGGGTTTAGGGTTTAGGGTTGAGGGTTGAGGGTTGAGGGTTGAGGGTTGGGGACCACATGAACCCTGAAATTGGGCTCATTTGGTACGCAAGGAACAAACGGCAGCCCTGAAATCTGGTGCTTTCCAAGAGCTTCCGCTCCATCTGGGAGGGTTTAGAGTTTAGGGTTTAGGGTTTAGGGTTTAGGGTTTACGGTTTAATCCAAATAGACAGCTACAGGAGGGCAGCTACTGCTTATGGAGGCCTCTTTTAGAAACAGCTTGTGAGGGTGTTTCCGAAATGAGGGGGCCCTTAATGTCGACCTCCCCCCCAAACAGGAAGCTGCTTTTATAAAAAGTACCACCCGATACTGTCCTACACGAAGCTTCCTCCTCGAAGCCTTGACACATGCCGAGTTGGCTTGACACTGGTTTAAAAGGCTTACGGGGATTAGCGGGTTTAGGGTTTGAGGGGTTTTAGGGGTCAAACTCGAGCACAGCATTCGCCCATTCTTCCCAAAACCCAGAGCTGAACCCGGCTCACAGGAGGCCCCCCGGCCCCCTCATCTACGCCTGAATTCATACGCATCGCAAGATCTGTGAAGATGTCATAAACACCCGAAAGCCAAAATCTCTCCCCCCCCCCCGCTAAACCCCCCCTTACACCGCCCCTGATACCCTCAGCAAGCGCTTTGCTCTCTCCGCAAAGTTATGCTATAGTGAGGCTTTCACCAACTCGGAGGTTCCCTGAAACCCTAAACCCTAAACCCTAAACCCTAAACCCTAAAACCCGAAACCCCTGAACCCTGAAATCTATAGACCCTAAACCAACTCTGGGGCTTCGGATCGGGGGCCTGAGCCCTAAACCCTAACCCTAAACCCTAAACCCTAAATCCTAAACCCTAAACCCTAAACCCTAAACCTTAGAGACGGGGTTTCAGATGGCAAGCAACTTGGATCCAGGCCAGGGATCACCATTGGGCTGCTCTAGCTCCTGCGACAAAACTTGGGGAGGGCCATCCCCAATTGGGGGTAGGGTAGAGGGTTTAGGGTTTAGGGTTTAGGGGTTTAGGGTTTCAGGGTCTGGGGTTTAGGGATGAGGGATTAGGGTGTAGGGTGTAGGGTTTAGGGTTTAGGGTTTAGGATGCAGGGTTTCGTGTTTCGGAACCTTGAGGACCACATGAACCCAACCCTATAAAAGGCTTATGGTTCATATACCTTGACAGGGATTGTAGTAGTACAGGGGGTATGATCCAAATTGTGGGTTCATTTGGTCCCCCAATGAAGTGTTGATATGGGAGAGTTAAGTGTTGATATAGGGGAGTTTGCACTAATTACCTTCAGGGTTTAGGGTTTAGGGTTCAGGGTCTAGGGCTTAGGGTTTAGGGCTTCAGGGTTACGGTGCATTGCCTTGCCGCTGCGCTGGAATTCGTTAGTGGTCTTTTCTCTTGCTGATAGAAAAGTGCGAAACCCCAAGCCCCTAAACCGTAAACCCTGAACCCTCTATGAGCCGAAAAGCCCTTAACCCCCTTACCTAAACCCCCAAAACCCCGCCAAACCCCTAAACCCCCCTGAACCCCCCTAAACCCCAAATCCCAAACCCTAAACACTAAACCCTAAACCCTACATCCCCTAAACCCTAAACCCTAAACCCTCAACCCAAAAACCCCAGTGCA